CACTTCTGTCTCCTTGGGCTGCGCTGAGCCCCGTCTAGGGACTTTTCGTGAAGTGCATAATTTACGCATTTAATCGTGCTTCGCCTTTAGTAAAGCGGCCTTTGTATCGTTGAGAAAAGAGGAAAGGGAAGAGGAGCAAGCCCATTTCGCTCCGGCGTGACAACCACCGCTTGGCATCTGGGCTCCCTGTGGGCGCACTGGCTCTAATGGGCTGGAGGGCAGCGGCCACCTTGCTCATCCTGCTGGGGTGCTGCACCTGTGAGTAGCTGATAATAATAATAGTAATAGTAATAATAATATTGTTACGTTATTGTGGCATATGGTTTAGTGGTCTGGTATGGCTGCAGATGTGCTGGGGAGGGTCAGTAAATGACGAGAGGAAAGGGGAGGAGCTTCTGGCCTTGAAGCGCAGCTGTGGCGCTGCCGTGAAGGCCAAGGAGCTGAGCTGGCTGCCAGCCAAGGTGGCTGGGGGGAGATGCCAGGGCAGCCGTCCCACCGACCCAGCCTGTGTAGTCCTGGTGGGGAGGACTGGCGCCCTGGGGGACACCCGCCTCCTCAGTTGCTGGGGATGCCGCTGGTCTGATGAAAACCGGAGGAGGAGAGGAGAGGAGAGAAAAAGCCTGCGCAGAACGGGGCGGCTGGAGAGCCAAGCGAAGTATGCAGAGCAGCCCGTGGTTCCTGGTCAGAGAGGGAGAAGAAGAGTCCACAGGTGGCTTCCCTGGAAGAGGGGAAGTGAAGCCCCAGAGGGGGCGTCTTCACACAAGACCCAGGATGGGAAGGGGGGGGGGCTCTGTCCCCCGGTCTCTGGGGAAGGACTGGGCAGAAGACCCTGAGGGAGGTTCTTCCCCCAGCGAAGAAGAAGGAGAAGGAGAAGTAGTAGTAGTAGTAGTTTGGCTGAGCAAGTAGAAGCCACGCCGCATCCTACAGTAAATCCGCCCATGTCTTTCTTTTCACTCTTTGATAAGCCCAGGGAGGGGGAGGGAGGAGGAAAGAAAGGGGAAAGAAGCAGGAGAGATCCGGAGTCAGAGGAGGAAATCCAACATTTACAGTTGCAAACACCTCTGTAAACAGCCTCACTGTGTACAGTAGAAAAGCACAAAAGCCTCCAATTGTGTTTTGCTGCACCAGTTGCCATCCTTTCAAGCCCAAATACATCTACAGTTCAAAACATACCTGGTCCCACTGTGGCAGTTGTGTTGTGTTGTGTTGTGTTACACTAACTAAGGCACCGCATAACAAAATGGATGAAAAAGGCTCTGATTTCCAGTGGATGCCCTGAAGAATAAGAGGGGAGAAGGGAGAAAATCTGCCTCTCTGAAGAGGGACGTGGAGGCCAGTGGGGCATTTTTCTTTTTCTCCATTCTTTGTCTACCCCGCTTAGTGCCTTTTCCCTCTTTTCTTCCTTGGGCCTTTGTTGGGGAAGAAAAGGTGACTTGGCTTTTGATTTCCTTTCTTTCTCCTGGTTTCTTCTTCTGCCACCCGGTCCATAGACAGTTGTGGCTTCTGGTCCTCCGCGCAGGTTTCCCTCCTCCTGAACATCCTCTCCCGAAACCCAACCCAACCCATACCAGAATCTGCCAAAGTTTCTCTTCGGATCCGAGTCTTTTCATTGCTTTGTTCTTCTTCCTCTGTCCTTCGCCCCTTTCTGTTTCTTCTCCTCTTTCTCTGGCCTCTTCCCAAGCACCTTTTCCCTTACACATTCCTTCCCCCTTTTCCTTCAGGTTTTTCAGTTGGGGAAGTGCCTCCTTTGGGGATTTTCTTTGCTGGAGCCCAGAAGGCAGAAGAGATGAAGCCCTTTTTCTTTTTCCCTCTTTGTCTTTTGCTCAGAAGGCCAGCTGGTGATGATGAATTAACACTTTATTCCACAGTAGGTCCCAACCTCCTCCTCCTCTTTTTTTATGCGTGGGTGTAGATGTATCCGTTGCCTCTTTCTACTCTGTTCCTAGCCTGGCTTGCTCTTAGCCCCGCTTCTGTCTCTCTTCTCCTCCAATAGCAACTTTCTTTTTGCCTCCCTTATTTGTGTCAGATCCATCATCCCCGTCCACCAAATGATGTCCTTCGTGGGGCAGAACAGAAGAGGGATCACCTGGTGTCCTACTTTCCATCTCAACTCTGCTACTGTAATGTACATTAAAGGGTTAAGGCTAGAATAACCAAAGACTGCTCTCTTTGGGATTTTTCATGTAAATTACCCACAGGATTGTTTTCAGTGCCTCACAAAATTTCAGTGCTTTTGATACAGAGATATATCATATTTTATGTATACATATAACGTTGTTGTTAGCAATTCCTCTGCCCTTTTCATTCATGCCTGTTATCCATATTTCCCCTGACTTCTGCCTGCCTTTTGTTCAGTTTTGGGTATTTGCTCATGTTTAATAAATAAACCAACTCCAAGCTATATTACTTCTGTTATCCGCATTCAGCAGATGGTGTAGCTCTTCTGATCCGGATATAGGATACGCTGGGCGTGTGCTAGGTGTAAACTAAACTGGAAACACCCACGATATGCATTCTCCACAGCAACAGTCTGCCATTAGGTAGCACTGCCTTCTGCCATCTGTTCTGTTGCCCGTCCTGCCCCCCGCAGCCCTGACAACACCATCACAGAGGAACTTGGCAGGATGGAGGGGGGGGGGATATCAGCAGCCCCACCTCTCTCAGCCAGGCCTCCATCATGCAGGCAAAATCAGGGCTTCCATCCAGGATTAAATCTTGGGGAAAAGATCTTTTTCCAGCAACAGACTTTCTGGACACATCCATGGAGTTTCCCTGCCTTCTTCCTGGATGTCTTTCTGACTTCCCAGTTTTGCCCACAGTCATTGGATATCCTGGTGCTTTCTCTCCAAACAATTCTCCATGGCCAATGCTCTGTGTTTGTTCTTTTTTTCCAAGATCATTTAGTGGAGACTCTTCTCATTCTTAAAAAGTTTATGTCAGCGTTTGATAGGATGCCTAAAATGTGAATGAACGTTAGGTTGCTTCAGCTGTACAATGACTGCTCAGTACGGCATTGAGAAACAGTTGCAAAATGAATAATTTTATAATCTGAGAAAGGTTTGGGGCTTTGAGCTTCATATCTGAAACTCAAGTCTCCACTGTGGTGTTATTTACAAATGTTAAAAGAGAGGAAAAAGAAAAAGAAAAAAGAAAAGAATGGAAAACGTAGATAGGTATTTAATCTCTCCCTTCTCCCTTCTCTACATTCCAACCGATGTACAGTGTTTATAAACATTTAGGCCCCTTTAGAAACCATATTGTGTTTCTGTTTGCCTTGCTGTGTGATGTATTGTATACATGGAAACCATTCTTGCTTGAATCTGGTTAAACTTCTGTTGTAGATAAATGCTGTTACTTCCCCCCTCCAAGCTTAAGTTCCCAGTCAGATGTCATTCGTATTGTATCTTTCTTCCAATGCTGGGCAAAGTTTATCCACGCAGCCATGAGCCTCTATCTCAGTAAATTATGCTGTTTCTTGTTAATGCATTCTGGGATTATACCTAGTAGAAAAATGTGATTTCATTTCAAACTGAGTTTCTAAAGTCTTGGGATGGTCTTTCCAAGTTTTTTTTATAGATCTACCAATGGGGGTAGAATGTTCCTTCAGGGCATTTCCAACATTTGTCACTCTATGATTCATCTATCTTGGAAGTCAAGGTCAGCCAAAGTCTGGGGAGGGGGGCTGCTCCTTGGGGCATCTTCCATGTTTGGAGACAGGAGTGAGAACCTCCCACCCACGGCAACAGATCGAACTCCTTCTCTTGGGGGTTTGCTCTGTGACAGTGAAATGGGGAGGGGCTGGAGCTTCAGACTCCTAATTCTGCCCTTCTCTCTTCTTCCTTTCCAGGCTTCCCCTCACACTCCCTGAGCTACTTCTACCTGCAGGTGCCAGAGTCCAGCCAGGGGCTGCCCCAGGTCTTCTCCAAGGCCTACCTGGACCACCAGCCCATCGCTCGCCATGACAGCCTCACCAGGAGGACGGTCCTTCTGGTGCCCTGGATGGAGGAGGTGGAGAAGGAGGATCCCAACGATTGGAACCGGGAGATGGAGACTTTGCAGACCACTGAGCAGGTCTTCCAAGATGAGCTGGAGCATGTACAAAAACTGTACCAGCAAAATGGAGGTTTCATTTTCTTTCCTTCTTCCTCCAGTTCACTTTGATTATTATTCTAAGGGAGAAATTTGGGGGGTGGGAGGGGAGAAGAAAAGTAGCCCCCACCTCACAAGGAAGGGAGAAGTGACTATATTGCCCACCTACAGACTGCAAAATGCAGGATTTCTTTTCTTTTCTTTTTTTCTTTTTGGCTTCCAGGACTACAAAAGGATGGTGCTGATGTTTTTTTTTTTTTCCTCTGAAGGAAAGAAAAACTCCACATTATTCTCCCTCAGCTAAAATGACTGGCAGTTATTTGCATGATATGGTCCCATCTCCAGAAAGGTTCAGCGCAGGCCCTCTTCACTTTCCTCCCTGTTCTAGAAGGTGGGGGAGGAGAGTTCAGGTTTCCCTTCCCAGATGGGATGGAGGGGGAAAGATAATAATTAATAAACCTTTTTTTGCGGGGGGGCGTGCCTTGGGAGAGGAACTCTGGTCCTTCTAAACTCTCTTTCAGGGCTGCACACCTGGCAGGCGATTTTGGGCTGTGAGCTCAGGGAAGATGGGAGCAAACGAGGGTATTGGGACTACGGCTACGAAGGGAAGGACTTCATCAGCTTCAACAAGGAGACCCTCAGATGGGTGGCAGCTCAGCCCCAGGCTGAGAAGGTCAAGGAGAAGTGGGATGATGATCTGGTGCGGTCCGAGAGAAACCAGGTCTTCCTGGAGGAGACCTGCATTGAGCGGCTACAGAAATACCTGTCCCACAGGAAGGAGGCTCTGCAGAGGACAGGTGAGTGCAGGGGAGGAGAGCTGCATAATTTCCTTGGATGGACCTTTTGAGGGTGCTGTTGGGCTGGGGGGGTCAGTAATTCCTCTTGAGAAAAAAAAAAAATCACCATTCTTGCATGAAAGGAAACCTGATGTAGAGAATAAGGAAGAAGACCTTGATGGGGAGGCCGATCGCAAGATGGTGAAGTGAAAGCATCCAGCTGTCAGAGTGCTCTGGCAAATTTTTATTTTTACTTTATATTATCAGACGAATCCCCTTTTTAACTACTGGTCCCTGCGTGCAACTGTATATGATTATTTTCCAAACAACTGGGTGAGACTGTTTACACACTGTCGCTAAGAGAAGATAACAGCATGGGAAAGAGGAAGAAATGGCCCACAAGAATGAACTTTTCACACAGAATGAATTCTGGCATGCGGTCATTATTCAAATCATCCAAGCAACTAAAAATAGACAATCTTATGGAACTCAAAAATGAGATGGCTGTGGGTGAAAATGTAAGTAATGACAGTGCCAGCTTTAGTATTATCAATAAACCAAGCCTCGGGCACACTCTAAATAAATATGAGGTGTTGAATTGGGACTCTCAAGACGAAAGTGTAGTAGATCACCCCACTTACAACAGTGGGGAACTAAATTCCCTGGGCACCTTAGATATAACAGTTTCCTCTTTGGAAGCAGCTGCATGCTTGGTTGTAGCATTTACTACAAGAAGCAGTCAGGAAGAGGTATCCAAAAATGGGACCACCGAACTTGTGTCTAGGCAAAGCTGACTGACCGCACGGACTGTACTATCAATTTTTGATTATCCAACAGAAATAACAGTGAAAGTGGACTCATTGAAAGAGTCCTTTGATACAGTGACTCAGTCCCTTCACAATAAATTATCCCAGTTTGCTGAAGTAGGAAGCTCTGGCTCTAAAAATGTTCAAGCTGTTGTAACTCAAAGACTCTACAGCTGAACTGACTGAGAAAAGGGAACAAACCACCCAAAACCTGTCCTTCAACCTTTGAGACACGTAAGGGCTGAAAATCAAAGTCATGATAATTGAGTGCTGCAAACTAATCAGATTTATCTACACATTATCCTTAATAGACTCAACAGAGGACGGTGGGGCTTAAAGAAAGCAACACGTTACTCCCTAAGCCAGTTACTTCGATGTCATTACTATGCCATCGACTTAGGTCTGGTGGAGTGGCTTCCTAGTAAGATGGGCTGTAAATGAATTCTACTGACATTCAAGCAGTCTGTAATCCCAAGTACGCTCTTTAACACGAAGCCCATGCCGACCCCTTTCTTAATATTTCCAAAACATGTATTTTGTGAGATGCAGATATCCCCACTCATTGAGTCACTATAATAAGAGACTGCCAGCCCTTTCAAGGAGAATCAAGGAATGGGTGCTGCTGCTGTTGCCAGCTGCAAAGATAAAAAACCGGCCCTGCCTTTGGGAGAAGCTTATTTTGATAATTTCAGGCAGAGAGAGGAGGATCAATTGCAGCTGAATTGCTGAGAATTAACTGGTGCCTTTGGAGCCTTGCTAAGCTGTGAACAGGAAGATTTGTTGAAGACGTTAGAGGATCTTACGCAAACTCTAACCACAATGCACAAGACAGTTGCCCCACTAATTGATTTGGCCTCGATCTGAGTTCAGCTCCAACATCGCTTGAAGACAGCCAATTGGATGGACAACCAGATTGCTTCACTGAAGATTCAAACACACCCCAAGGAGTTGCGAACTCAGCCCCACAAAATACAGAGATTGTAGATCAGCATTCACGGGACTGTATTTTAACTTCACTAAAGGGCACTCAGACCTTTGATAGAGGCTGTCCCAGTGCAGAAGTGTCTACAGCAATACTTTTGTCTGGCCAAACTGAATGATGTTCAACCAATATTACTCCTCTGTCTTTCATTTCCAGGGTGGAATGTTCCAGGGTGGAAATCCAGGCATAGATATCTATTGTTTCTGGCTTGTATCTCCAGCTTTGATGTAGTTTTTTCCCAGGAAACCTGGCACGCGGGTGAACTGGTAGCAGAAGGGTTCAAGACAATTGCCCTGGAAGCTGTGCCTGGTGCAGGACATGGGACGCTTTGTGGGGGGTTAGGAATTTTAATATCTACCACATTACAGGTTCAAATAATCAGTTTACAACCATTAGACAGGTGTGCACTAGCAGTTCTACTTCAATTTAATAGGAGTCAATTCCTTTTGATTAATGCGTACATCCCACCCCTGTGGATACGATCACAGAGAAGACATGTATGGGACAAAATAAATACCTCTGTGGAAGATCTAATGGTTACATCCTCTGAAGCACATATAATATTGGCTGGCGATTTTAATGCAAGAATTGGAGCAAACGACAAATCACTTTTTGCTAAACATTCACTACCCGCCTTTATCTTCTGTAATAACACCCCCTATTCTATGCCGCCAATCTAAGGATGAATTTAGTGATTATAGAGGGCCTTGCTTTGTTTGAACTTTCACAAAACTGAATTTGGTAATTTTAAATGGGTCTATTAGTGATGATTACCCAGCTGAGTACACCCACTGGGCCGGTACCAAGCCTTCCCTGTTAGACTATGTTGGACCTCTTAGAGTTTAATTCCTTACCTATCTAAGTTTGTAATTGTCAGTCAACCAGAAAGCGACCACTTTCCTGTTACTTTGTGCCTGAAAATCTTTGATAAGTTGCTCTTACCTTCTTGCCACATTGCAACAGTGGCCCATGACTTGTGATCACTCGTGCTGAATGGACATCTGAGCAAGCAGCAATAATCCCTAACTTTGTTAGAAGCAAACCAGCGAAGTCTCTTTACTCAGCAATAGTGGAGGGTAAGTTAGATGACATCATTGTTGGCTAATTTTAATAACTTAACCAACCTATTCCAATCATTGTTAACAGCCCCCCAATCTGTTACAATTAGACATGATCCAAGAACACGTCATACTTGGTTCGACCATGAATGCTGTGAAGCTTGGAATTCTCTAAATTGCCATTTTAAATTCTATAAAGACAGTCCTGGTTCTTGTTCAATTTCTGAGTTAATGACATTGAAAAAACAGAATAAACAGTTAATTTGTCAAAAAAAAAAAATGCTGTGAGGGTATCCTGGCAACACTTGATAGCAGCTGCCAGTGTGAAAAACCCTGCCATCTTCTGGAGGTTGGTAGCCTCATCTTCTTCTAACAATATTTATAGCTCTTCACCTCCTATACCAGCCAGTATATGGGAACACCATTTTGTCACCTTAAATGGTCAAGAGGAGAATTTCTTAGCAGATTTGGAATTGGATGTGGCCTCTCTTCCCCATTGGCCCCCAGTCTCATGCTCAGAGATCAGAAATATAATTAAACAGCTCAAACCAGGGAAAGCTCCTGGTTCAGATTTTCTAACATATGAAGTATTAAAAAATAATTTGGAATGGTGGATCCCAATGCTAGTTTCGCTTTTCACAGCAATAGACTGTTCGGCCATGATACCAAAGGACTGGGGCTTGGCTGTTATTATACCAATATATAAGAAGGGCAAGAGAGATGATCCAGCTAACGACTGCCCAGAGAGTTTGTCAAGTCAGATCAGCAAAATGTATACTAAACACCTGCAGGATAAACTAATTGATTGGCTTGAACCTGAAGACATTCTGATGGATGAACAGGCTGGATTTAGAGCAGGTTGATTGATGCTAGACCATGCTTTGGTGCTGCAAGATCTAGTAGAAAAGTACACCCACAAATCAGGACAACGCCTTTACGCAGCATTTATTGACTTTAGGTCAGCCTTTGACACAGTCACTAGAACTAAACTGTGGCATAAATTAAAAAAATACCACAAGTGACAAATGCCTACTTTTGTTGCTCACCAAAATACACGAGGACACAAGACTGAAGGTCAGATCCAGTAATCAAGGACATGTCACAAAGGAAATACACATAAGGAGGGGAGTCAGACAGGGATGTGTACTGGCCCAAGTAGTATTCAATTAACACATAAACTCATTGGTCTCTCATCTAAGTAGCTCTACTTTTCATCCTCTGAAACTAGCCCAAAGACATGTCAATTGATTACTGTATGCAGATGATGCAGTAATTCTGTCATTAACTTCTGTTGGCCTCAGAAGAGCTCTGAGATCACGAACGCATTACTATACTGAGGAGGAACTAATAATAAATTACACCAAGACTAAATGCCCAAAACAGAGAAGTTGGAATTTAGGTGGGCAGCCCATTGAACAGGTTAAGATATTTAGATATCTAGGGATAGTTTTTCAAGCTTCAGGAAGGAGAAATGCCCACCTGGACTATGTTTCCAGTAATGCACAGAGATCTGCATCAGCTATTCAAACTTAATATTTTTCCAGAGGAGCACAGTTTATCCCTACTGCAGTTAAAATGTTTACAGCTAAAGCTTGAGTGCAATGGCTATACGGGGCTCAGCTGGGACCTATCATAGCACCCTTATCTTAGAAGGCATACAAACAAAATTTCTAAGAAACATCTTCCAGGTTACCTGCAGTGTTCCAAATGCTGTACTTCGACGGAAAGCAGGAGTCAGTAAACGTGAATCTGATCTCTGGATAAATATCTTTTCCTACTGGTTAAAATTACATCACAACCCCAGTGGACTGACCCATCTAATATTGGCAGGTAGCTTCAAATCCTCTTGGGAAATAGCCATCCAAAAGACACTTTATGGTTTCTCTAGTGATGCCATTTTAACCTTAAGAGTTAGAAAAAGCCAGATCAGTGTTAAGACAAAGGATCTTAGATATAGAAGGTCAAACAGAAACTGCTCCATTTTCTCACAATATAATTGCTAATGACCAAATCTTAGCATCCAAACCAGCTTCATATCTGTATCATATTACAGTCCCCAAATTCAGGACTGTATTTGTCTCCAGCCCCATTAAATGTCTTCCCCACAGCTGTTTTGGAAGGGAAGTATAGGAAAACCCCATATGAAACCCGATATTGCCCCTGTGACTCGGGTGCCATAGAACCCACAGCCCATGTTCTTTTGTATTGTCAGTTCTACAGGGATATTCGCCACTAGTTGATTACCCCCCTTTTATTTAAATTTCCAGGGCTCTCTGACAACTTTTATTTGCGTTATCTGTTAAACAACCAAGATAAATGTATTTCTCTAAAAGTAGTAAAATTCTGCAACATTATGTGTAAGCTTCACCCACAAATGGTTGCTAACAGTTATTGATGTTAGGGGATAATTTTGTTTTTTTTTTATAGAATGAATTTTTATTGGTCAGTGGCTGAAATAAAGTTTCTGTCTGTCTGTCCTTGATGGACATATGCAAGATCCTTGGACAACAAGAGGTGAAACATACCTTAAGTCCACCTCAGATATTTGGAACAGGCTCAGACATAAGAAGGGGGAGGAGGTTTAGCACATCAGATTTTGTTATTATAGCTAATCTCAATAAAAGGAGTTTTAGCATTCCCATGTAGTTGATTTCCTGGCCTGGCCTACTTAGTAGGACTGACACCTAGGGAGCATCAAGGTCCACCTCTTGAGGATCCTACAGATTCAAGAAAGGAGGGAGGCGGTGATGCAATTATGTGAGGTTCTTCCAGATGCATTATCTTGTTGGTGCTTGGAGAGATCCTGTAAGGTGTGTTCTTGCTATTTTTGCAGAGCCCCCAGTGGGGAAGGTGACCCACAAGGCGGTTAGTGACAACGTGGAGGCCCTCATCTGCCAGGTCTACGGTTTCTACCCCAAGGAGATCAGCGCCACCTGGAGGAGGGACGGAGAGGTCTGCAAGTACGAGACCTTCCATAGGAATGTGGCCCCCAACTCAGACGGGACCTATTATGTCTGGCTCAGCATTGAGATCGACCCCAAGGAGAGGGACCTCTTTCGGTGTCACCTGGAGCATGACAGCTTGCAGGAGCCCCTGGTCTTGGCCTGGAAGGAGGAAATGGGTGAGAGGCTGAGGCTGAGGGTTGAAGGAGGTTGAAGGGGAATCTTCACTGGGCTGGAGGAGTGGAAAAAAGTTATTTCCTGTACCGGGACAGGTTACCTGAAGGCAGTCAGTGCCTTTTCTGGCCATTTTTCTGAAGTGGAGGATGGGGATTGGAAGGGAGGGGTCTCCTTCAGGTGGGATGCAGGGAAGACGTTGCAGATTAGGACAGTATTTATTCTGCTGAGCATCTCTACTTCAGGGAACTCACGATCTCTGTCTGAAGCCCTGGAGAGGAGCTTCTCATCTAATGGGAAACATGCTTGTCTTTTTTAGCCAGACGGCGGCTCGTTCTGGTAGGGACCATCCTTGTTGTCCTGCTGGGGCTTCTGATGATCCTCCTCCTCCTGACGTGTAAGTGAACTGGAACTGCCCCTGGTACAGATGGCAAAGCTCCCTGAGAGGTGCAGTCAGGACCCCCACAAGCCCCCTCCCAGAAAGAGCCCGTAGGGAAGGGGATTGGCAGGAGAAGGGGTTCAGGGAGGAAAGAACACTCCCGGGACTGAAGTGATTTGGGAGGTTTAGAAAAGGTTCTCAAGAAGAGCCTCTTGTAAGCAAGAGGGACCCTCAGGAAGCACTGATGGAAGGTGGGGGCAGCGGAGGAAGGGCCCCCATGTCCCCTGACCCTTCTGGCCGTGGCCCCTGGGAAGGAAGGACCGATGGAGGATGGAGCGACTGCTTCCTCTGTTGCCCCTCCTCGGCTCCTGCTGCAATCAGGAGTGAGGAGGAAAACACACGTGGGAAGGTCTCTGGGAATTGGGGAAAGGTTTTCTTGAACTGGGACCTACAGGGACACTTCCATGTAATGTTCTTGGCAACAATACAGATGTGCTTCGCCATGGCAACCTTTTTCCAGGGTATTCTTGATTTACTTGGGAATTCTTGCTTGTGTCCCATCCAATTCTAAAAGGCCAGGCCCTGCTTTAGGTCAGCCAAGATTTCCACCGTCCTGTCCTCTAACTGGGTTGGCACTGGGCTATTGGAGCATCAACCAAACTCAGTGGTAGGGAGAAATGTCTGGGAGAATGGGAGGTGCCATTTATTCTGGAAGGAGCTTCATTCTGGCTCTCAGAACCTTGGAAAAGAAACAAGACCTCATTTCCTGACCGTTACAAGCCTGAACATGCTCTTGGAGGAAAACAGTTCCTATGAGCGTGGGGAGCTTGCTGGGCAGTTCAGTGCCTGGTTATTTCCAGAGGTGACGCTCTGACCCCAAATCTCTTTTCTCTGGAGTGACCTCCCTTGTTGCCAAGAGAGGGCTGGTTGGCTCTGGAGGTCCCTTCAACTCTGATTTTTCCCCCCGATTTTTCTCTGCAGGGTATCGAAGGAGACCGAAGAGCTCAGTGGGGAATATTTGAAATCTTGACAGGTCTGTAGATCCTTTTGTGTTTGGAGTTCATACTGACACTTCCATGTAATGCTGCAAGACTGAAATGGGGAAGATGAGCCCAAGGCCAGCTGTGACCGTTTTATCCACGGAGAGTGTCACGAGGTCTTTTTTAAAGTGGACCCAATTAGATTGACCCAGAATCAAGAGAACCACGAAAGCCCTGGACTCGGGCTCTTTTTTTTTTTTTTTTTTTTT